TTGGCTCTACCATTTACCAGGTTGACATAGGGTCAAAAATCAGAAGCCTTCTCTTTGAAAGTACAGAACACGCTTACTGCTTACTCTCACCCTTTTGGCCTGTTTGTCCACCACAGAAGAATATCATTATCACTTATTAGAACTGCTTTATTTATGTGTTACCTTGGTGTCTTTGGAACTTCATGGGATTATAGAGATTTTGAACTACTTTACTTATGTGTTACCTTGGTGTCTTTAGAACTTCATGGGATTAGAGAGAGTTTGTGTAGCAAGTTTGTTTATCTCCATTATTAGTCATTAATTTCTTTGCTTTTTTTTTTTTTTGATTAGACATATTTATCTTCCTTCTGTTTTTTTTTTTTAAATTTTATTTATTTATTTATACAAGCACTGGGTACAGTCAGGAGCGTGGGAGGGTGAGAGAATTCACCAGAGCTAGAGCCGGGAGCAGAGCAGGCAGAAGGACTGAAGTACACTGCTGAGGGGAGCAGCGGGTGGCAAGAGAGGTCTGCGCGCCATGTGGGACCCTCCTCCGGTGGCCTGGGAGCAGCTGGGGATCGAACCAGTGCTGCAGAGGCTGCGGGCAGCTTCGCAACCCAGCGCTCAACTGCTGAGCCACCGGGGAGGCCCTTCCTTCAGTTTTTTTAGGAACTTCGTATGGCCTGTATGAGTTCTTAGCCTAGGTAGTTAGCTATAGCAGTAAAGTTGTTGGCATGTATAAGGAATTACTTTTATCATTGGAGTAGACAAGGAAAACTAAATCTCAACTTTTCCCTCAGTATTCAGTTAAAAATGAAATGGCTGATTTGGAGGAGATCTGCTTTAGTCTTAGTCTTTTAAATTATTTTTATTTAAGCAGACTCTCTAGCATTCATAGGATAGATAGTGCAACTCTTGCGTATATATTTGTCAGAAAAGCATGCAGTTTAGTAGAAGTATACCTGTTAGCACAGTGCCTTACCTAGATAAGGTACTCATGTACTACCTGAATGAATGAATGAATGCACTTTTACCCTAGAGTTAATCTGAAATATGCTACTATTACTTCCTTTTTCTTTGTGTTAAGAATAGCCGCTCCTCCTTCAGTGCAAATAATATATTCTGTTTCCTTGTTATATTTACTGTTTGCTAGATAACATTCACCGTTTTCAGAGAGGAAGTATGCATTTGTGTGCTAGACTCTGAATAGTAGAAATTGATTTTCTTTAAAATGTTCCTGTAGGTAAGGTAGATATTAGATATAGGAGTAATTTACATAAACATATGGAGGTCATACTGACATTAGAATTTGCCTTTCATGTTTCCCTTTCTTAGTAAAATTAGTTTAACAATTTTAACATAAAAGTATTGTTTTATTGTTATAAAATACCCGAAGAATACTAATTTAAAAAAACATTTCTTAATTCTACCGCCCAGCAGTAATCACTATTACCGTTTTTGTTTGACAGTCTTTACATACTCTGTTAGCCATATTGGTAGTTTTCAGCATTTCACATCTTCAAAAATCATATATAGTACTTTACTAAGGAACCAAAGTGGCACTGCAGTAGAAACAGCCCTCTTTTTATAAGGACATTTATATTTTTACACACATTATGTTAGTGCCTTAACAGTAAAACTGATTACTTGTGAGCACTCATGGTGACACTTGACCCTCTAGAAGCGAATTGCTAGGTAGAATTCATGAGCAGGTTTGCAAGTCATATGAAAATTAAATCCAGGAATGTTTTTTCCACTTCATACAATTTTTTATACATTCGTAAGGATTTTTTCCAATTGCCTAACTTGCTTTCCACGATTACTTTATTTAAAAGATTTATTTATTTATGCATACAAGAGCTGGGGTACAGGCCAGAGGTGTGTATTGAGGGAGGGTGAGAGGATTCACCAGAGACAGAGTGGGGAACAGAACAGGCAGATTGACCGAAGTACACTGCTGAGGAGAGCAGCCAGTACACTGCTGAAGGAAGCCTCGGGCAAGTCAGGAGAGGTCTGCTGCGCCATGTGGCTCACTCCCTGGCTGGCCAGCATTCGAACTCGTGCTGCAGTGGCTGCGGATTGCTTCATAGGTTGCGTCTTAACCCTTGTGCCACCAGGGAGGCCCTGTGATTACTTTATTATCCTTACATTTTTGTCAGTGATGACACCTTGTCACTTCTACCTCCAAAATAACTTTTACTCTGATTCCACCTCTTCAATCCTGAAGTTAGTACTGCCTCATTCAGGTTTTACTTTCTATTCAGTGTGTAATAGAAGCTGTTGGACTGCCTGTACCCTTTCCCTTTTCCTATTATAATGTTGTAGGGTTTTCTTCCCATTTGTTTGGTTTCGTACATCCTCTTTGTTCCAGTTTTCAACAATTTATTTTATGAAATTAATAAAATGTATATGTAGAAAATGAGCTTTGCTGTATAGAAAGAATCAATATCTTTATGATATTTAATCTTACAGGTTTTTTTTTGTGTGTGTATAATTTTTAAATTGGATCCATCTGGGTATTCTTTAATCTTTGATGAAACAACATTTTGTGAACCTTTTTCCACAAATATCTAATTTTTGCTTCTTTATTAATATTATGAGGGCCTCCCCTGGTGGCGCAGCGGTTGAGTGCTGGACTGCAAAGCTTCATGCAGCCTCCGCAGCGCCGGTTTGATCCCCGGCCACCAGCGAAGGTCCCACATGGCGTGCAGATCTCTCCTGCCACCCACTGCTCCCCTCAGCAGTGTACTTCGGTCCTTCTGCCTGTTCTGTACCCAGCTCTGGCTCTGGTGAATTCTCTCACCCTCTCGCGCTTCTGACTTTACCCAGTGCTTGTATAAATAAATAAATAAATCTTTAAAAAAATAATATTATGAATGTATTATAATTTATGCTTCTTACTGGATGGTTTAGTTCTTTAGGTTGGTCCTTCTTCCTTCCTACCATAACCAATATTGCAACATCCTTGTAGCTAAATTGTTGGATAGATCCATGGTTATTCCTTAGACTAGTAGAGTAATGGTTCTAAAATATAGCTCTTTTTATATCATTCCTGTCACACATATTTCATTTCTGTTATGACCTGTCTGAACCTTTTTATCCTAAAAAACTATTGATCTTGCCTCTACCAACATTTCTGACCTTGTCACCTTTCCTTTTCTCATACCCATCAGCTACATCAAACCATTGTGGCTCCTAAAATGTCTCTCTCTTTTTTTTTTTTTTAGAGGCATGTTTTATTTATTTATTTGTTTGTTTGTTTGTTTGTTTATACATGCATTGGGTACAGTCAGAAGCGCGGGAGGGTGAGAGATTTCACCAGAGCCAGAGCGGGGAGCAGAGCAGGCAGAAGGACCGAAGTACACTGCTGAGGGGAGCAGCGGGTGGCAGGAGAGGTCTGCGCGCCATGTGGGACCCTCCTCCGGTGGGCGGGGAGCATCCGGGGATTGAACCGGCGCCGCAGAGGCTGCGGGCACCTTGCAACCCAGCGCTCTACCGCTGCACCACCCGGGGGGCCCCCTAAAATGTCTCTTACTCATGCATCTGTTTACCTTCTTTTCTTACCCACCTTGTAAATAATTCTTTGACCTTCTGGCTTAAACTTTCATATGAAGTTCTTGATTTGCCTAGGCAAAGCTAGGTGGTTCCTTCTTTGCATCTTGTGTATGCTTCTGTTGGAATGTCATTAGAATAGTTCCAAAATTTTAGAAACTTAGTCGCCTGCTGGACTTTGAGCTACTCAGTAGTAGGGATGTTGTTGTAGTCACCATCTCTTTCTAGCACCTAATTCTAGTAGGTGCTTAATATGTATTTGAATAAATCTGAGATCTGGAGAAAAGCAAATATCTAAAAGTGGCATGATAGTATTAAATGTGCTTTTTAATTTTACTCTAAAATATGAAGAAAAAGTTACTTTACTGAAAAATATCCGTGGAGAGTATAAGAACCTTAGTTTTTTTTAAAAACAAATGTGTCATGAATGACTAATAATATGCTTACATTTAATGTGGAAAGTACAGTTTTATTAAGTTTTAGAGAATTTAAGAGCGTAAACTAAAACTTTGCCTTTTTTGTGTAAGCAAGAATACTTTTTTGTATTCAGTATCAATAGTGTAGGTACAGTTTAAAATTTGAGTCTTGGGCCTCCCCGGTGGCGCAGCGGTTGAGCGCTGGGTTGCGAAGCTGCTCGCGGCCTCTGCAGCGCCGGTTCGATCCCCGGCTGCTCCCCGGCCACCAGAGGAGGGTCCCACATGGCGCGCAGACCTCTCCTGCCGCCCGCTGCTCCCCTCAGCAGTGTACTTCGGTCCTTCTGCCTGCTCTGCTCCCCGCTCTGGCTCTGGTGAATTCTCTCACCCTCCCGCGCTTCTGACTTTACCCAGTGCATGTATAAACAAACAAACAAATAAATAAATAATTAAAAAAAATAAAATAAAATTTGAGTCTTGTAATAGTATTTTCATGGCTTTCGTTTTTATAACATCATTTGAATAGATTTATAAAAAGCTATTAATTAAAGAATAATAGAACAACAAATGATAATCATTGGGAACGTAGAAAGTTTGGAGTTTTAAAAGACTAGCACGTTATTGATGAAGACAATGTTGATTGACAACATAATTAAGGAAAGAATCCTGGGTTACTGGATAATAGATCTGGCCTAGGAGTCATCTCTGTATGTCCTTCTTTTTAGATTTTGGCTTAATCATTCAAAATGTTGAGTACTTTCTATGGTTCTGAAGTTCCTCAGTCTTTAGACTAAAAGTCTCCGAATTCTTTGTCATTGTTTACTTAAGTGTTGGCCACTTTAAATATTTTATTCTCATTGAGCTAACCTAAAGTAAACTACGATCTTAATTCTCACCTAATACAGCAAGTCTTGTGCCAGTAACTTCTTAAAATCTTGAAATCTATTTTGCTCATTGTCTTCTCAGCACTTAGCACAGATCATAGTGTTTAGTATTATGACAGATTATACTAATTGGTATATTAATTTTGTGTTTTTCATTTTTCTTTTTTTAAAGGTAATGTGGCTTTAGATAATCTACAGATAAAAGAAAATGCTCTGGTAAGTTTTTAAACTGTTGCCATAACTCAGTTCATTTGGTAAGCTCTTAGAAACCCTTGGTTACTAGGTATCTGACACCAGGTGCCAGATAAAGTGGCTGAGTCATTCAAAAAAGTGTATTACATGTTTAACTGTTTGCCTTAAGAAAAATTAAGATTAAAGTATTAGAAATTTTTCCCTCTAATGTACAAACTAGTATCTCTTAGAAGATGGAATGTTTTTCTCTGATCTGATTGACCATAAAGCTTTGTAGTAGACATTTTCTTACTGAAGTAGTTTTATGCAGACATAGCTTTATGTTTTTTTCAGGTAAATAAGCCTTTGACTTTAACAATTTATCTAAGAAGTAATTGTGTTTTGGAATTACATTGACAGTCTAGTCTTATAATGTCCTGGTAATGTTAAGTATAAAATAGATTTTTCTGGGCTATAGTCCTAGAAAGTAATAATAAATTCCAACAAAACAATGTTCTCCCCACCTTCCCTTATGCTTGTGTACAGCCCATTGTACTTAATGTTAGCTTATGAAGTCACTTATGAATGAGTTTATTCTCTAACAGTTCAGGTTTCTAGTTAAAATCTGCAGTATGTTTTATTGACCTTTGATTGAAATCCTGCATTATGAACCATATACTTAGGGAGAGCTCTATACACACAGTGCTCCCATGACTCCACTCAGGGGAGACAGTTTTAGATACTGAAGATCCTAGGAGTAGGACTTTGTCACAAGGTGTAATGGCATACTTGGCATTGTGGGAAACATCATGACCTTTGGAGTCTGGCCAATACTGGTGTTTGAGTGCTGGCTCTACTTTCTACCCTCTGTGTGAAGTATATAGTTTATACTTTGTATCCTATATAAAGATCCTCAGATTTACCCTCCTTCCCACACAACTATGAGGGAAGAGCTGCACTGTGATCACTAGTGAGGCTGTCTTTTGTTTGACCTAAAAAAGCTTTCTAACCAAAGCTGCTAATTAGTATTTTGTTTCATCCTGTTCACTTTTAGAATGCTTGAGTAATCAGATGATTAGATAAATTGAATATTTTAGTTAATTGTTGTCTAAACTATGGTATTTTAGTTGCCAGATATCTGCAGTATTAGTACATATGGAGGTACACCTAGCAGAAAGGCTAATGCTGCTGGCTTAATTTTCAGTAATTCTAAAGACTGAAATTTTCATTATGATGTCAGTTATTGTTTAGTACTCTGTGACTAGAAAATTACTTGAAGATCCTAGTGGTTTGGAATCTAGATAAGTGATTTATTCTTGTCAGTAACATCTAAAGTAATGCTGATGTGCTAAATAACTTGGGAATCATCTGCTGTTTGAGATTGTTTTGTGTATTCACTGACTAAATATTTTATTTGAGAGATAATTGTTCAATTATTGTTTTCAATTTATTTACATGAAGACTCTTCTTTTTCTAGTATTTCATATAAGCTGTGGCTACACATTCCTTTAAAAGTTCATGCTATTTCCATCCAGAAATTTGGCTTAGTTTATTAAAACAAGTATCCAGTTTACTCAATTACTTACTTTAACTACAAACTTTCTCCATTGTTTCTATTTATAATTTTGCTCCTCTTTTTTTAATTTAATTTTTAAAAAATTTTATTTTATTAGAACTGGGGTATAGGACAAGGATGCAGGGGTTGAGAGGATCCTCCAGGTACAGAGTTAGGAGCAAAACAAGCTGATTTACTGAAATACATTGCTTAGGGGCAGCGGGCAAGACAGGAGATGTCTACTGCACCACATGTGGGCCAGCTCCCTGGCCAGGGATCAAATTCAGGCCATAATGGTGATAGCACTGAGGCTCAAACCCTAGGCCAACAGGGAAGTCCAATTTTGCTTCTCTTAAGACTTCTTTATCTCTTAAGTATTATTCTTTATTCAGAGTCAAAGTTTAAGTTAGCAAAAACATTTTCCTGCTAGCTATAAAACGTGTCTTTTATGAGCTACCCAAATATAGGAAATATGTTTCATTTTTTTCTTAGAGATGATTGTGTATTTAAATGATAGAAAAATGACTTTTGGGAAGCTTAATAATTTAAGATGTCTTTTAAATTTTTCCTTCCTTCTGAAGAGTGAATTGGATGTTCCTTTTAAAGTCAAGGCTGGCCAAATTGGTAAGTACTTCATTCTTCATTTGAGTTATTCTAAGTCCTTTTAGAATTTAGATTTTTTTTTATTTGTCTTATGTTGTTTAATCTAAAACTTTTTTTTGAGGCAACTTTGGTTTACAGCACAATATGTTTTAGGAGTAGAGGTTCACACCTCTTTAAATGAATTTTGCCACATCACATCCACCAAAATACCAATAGCCCTTCACCACAGTCCACTGGACCCTCTCTACCCTTTGCTCACTATACCTTCTGGTAACATTAGTTCTGTAATTGGATTCCAAGGGTTTTGTGTGGCTTGTTTTTTTTTCTCTTCCTTTGCTTTGTTTCTTTGTATTCCATATGAGTAAAATCATCTGGTATTTGTCTTTCTCCTCCTGACTGATTTTTCTTCACATAATCCCCTCCAGTTCCATCCATATTGCTGCAAATGGCAAAATTTCATCTTTCTTTCTAGCTGAGTAGTATTCAATTGTGTATATCTATACCACATCTTCTTTATCCTCTCATTTGTCATTGAACATTTAGGTTGTTTCCATATCTTGGCTATTATAAATAGTGGTATAATGAATATAAAAGTGGATATATCTTAAATTAGTGTTTTTATATTCTTTGGATAGATACCTAAGAGTTGCAATGCTGAATTATATGGTAGATCTGTTTCTAACATTTTGAGAAACCTCCGTATTCTTTTCCTTAGAGCCTGGATCAGTTTACATTTCCAGCAGCTGTGAAAGAGGGTTCCTCTTTCTCCACACCCTTACCAACACTTGTTGTTTCTGGTCTTTTTCATGTGGGCCACAGGTGTGAGGTGATATCTCATTGTGGATATGGTTTGTATTCCACTGATAATAAGTGATGATGTACATTTTTTCATTGCCTGTTGGCCTTCTGTATGTCTTCTTTGGAGGAATGTTTATTCCTATTCTGCTCATTTTTTGGGTTGGGTTGTTTTCTTGTTGTTGAATTGCATGAGTTCTTTATATATTAGCCGCAAGTTGAAAGTATGGCATGTGAATATTTTTCTGTCGTTCAGTAGGCTGTCTTTTTGTTTTATTGAAGTTTCTTTCACTGGGCTTTTTAGTCTAATGTAGTCCTGTTTGTTAATTTTGCTTTTGTTTCCATTGCCTTTGTAGTCGAGTCTTCATCTCTGTAACCAGTGTTGTGGAATGTTTTGCCTGTGTTTTCTTCTTTGTATTATGGTTTCAGGTTCACATCTGAGTCTTTGATTCATTTCACATTTATTTTTGTGTATGGTGTGAGATCGTGGTCTGGTTTCCTTTTTTTGCAGGTAGCGGTCCAGTTTTCCCAAAATCATTTGTTGAAGAGATAACTTTTTTTAGCTTGAAGCAAAATGTGAGAGGTTTTTGGCTTATGTTGATTAGAGTCTTTAGCATTTTGAGTGCAAAGTAATTATATATAATACATATATACTTTAAAATTTTTGACTAGAGTGTTGAACATTAGCTCTAATATGTAAGGGCATTTGATCTGCAATTATACTTTTAGGCATTGGTCCAGCTCACAAAATTATTTTCATTTTCAAAATTGATGTTAAAATTTGTAGTTTTTTTAGATAAATGAAACTAGTATGTATACTTTTAAATTCTAGTAAGTGAAATTTAAATGTAGCTTATTTCTCTCATGTTTTGTTCAACCACTTCCACTTGCTATATTATGCAACAGTGTGATATGGAGGATATGTTTTGGTTAAGTAGGAAGTCTTTCTAAGTAAATAAACTTTAATACTAAGATCATCCATACCTCAGCATGCATCTTTGTTGAAGAAATTTTTCGGTAGGAAATTTAATCCACAAAATCTTCCTACTGCCTGATTTTTTACCTTTTCAAAAACTATATATAAATTAATACTCTCAATGACATGATGTCACTTTAGAATTTTCACTTGACAGAATCCTTCTTCCCATCTTCATTACCCTGTTGATTTACCACATCACCTTCCTTCTTCCTTATTTTGTATTCAGGAAAGACTTTGTCTTCCACAACTCTAGCATCTTAAAGCAGTTACTTGAATACTGCTGTTTGGGTCCAGTTTATATCATGTATATGTATTCCATTTAATATAGAGTAACATTTTCATGTTTTTGTCCCTCAAAGCAGGAGACATTCCTTAGACTGAAATCATCCCTGAGACATGTACTATTTACTTTTGTTTGTCTGCTATACTGAGATTGGTAATGATAGTGGTATTAGAGTATTGTGGCCCTCCTTGCTTAATTGAAATCCTAGGGTGATGTTATGGTCACTCATTTAATCTTTTATGCATTCATGCTATACACAAGACTATGTGGGTATCTGTGGGAGAGGCAGGGATGAATATGATTTCTTTGTCCTCGAAGAAGTTATGGAGGTCTAAAATTAAGTAATTATTGAAATCACATTTCCATAGTACTGAATGAGTTTTCACAAAATAAATTTTACATTATTTGTTATATTGTTACAACTAGATTTATATTTTAATGGAAGTTTCCTAATGATTCAGAATTTCTTTTTGCTTTAACGTGTTATAATAATTTAATGACTTTCTTCAGCTTTGCTCATTGAATTATGAAAGATGTTACATGTAAGGATGCAAAGTATAGTCTGTGTTTATTCCTCTTTCATGGATTTATGTAAATTAGTAGATTTCTCTTTATATTTGAATTTGCACTCAACCAAAAAATCAGTGTGGCTAAGTAAGCTCAAGAATGTTTTGGTGTTCTAAGAACTATACATACTTGTTGGACTCCTGGATTAGCCTATTACTTAAAAATTATTTAAAAAATTTTTTTGATCTAAAAAAAGGAGGCAGTAACACAACTAACTGAATTCCAGAACCTTTTTGAAGGGTGGAAGGATATTGGGTTAGAATGAACATAAAGAAAACAAGGTTGGAGAACAGACAGTTTTTACTGGTATGCTAGTTAAAGATGCATTTCCTATTTTAGTCTTTTGCTCACTAAAGAGATGAATCAGCTTTTTGTTTAAGAGATAATTACAAATGTAGCAGTATCTGTACTCACTCTAAAATCATCATAGAAATGACCCAAAAATATCCTGGTGTGATCTCTAGACTCCCTTAGGAGCCATTTAAGAAACTCAGTAGGTTTATAAGCTGAATAAAAGTGAAAATTTAAATGGAGAAGTAATTAGAGATTTTAACCTGGGAATAGATTTCCAGGTAAAACTGGCTTGCCTGTATAGCCATCAGGTGAATCAAAATGTCTTCCCTTACATTGCAAGATTTTATTTCCTCTTCAACTTATTAAATTGTCTAAAAATTCTATGACTTTGAGCATTTTTATTTAAAAATGCCAGGGATTCTTAGTCATATTCACATATCACAGTGATTTAGTTGAGTCAGATTCTTTTTTCTTAGAAGTCTTGATCAGTGACATTGATGAACTATAGCTTTTATAGGGTTAATGTTTTTTAAATTGTGATGAGAGAAGGTATTTCATTTTGGAAGATGGAGAAGTTTGGGGGCACAAGAGCTTTGAATAGACTTACTCTAGTATTTTTTTTTTTAAGATTTATTTATTTACTGGGGTACAGACCAGAGGTACGGGAGGGTGAGAGAATCCACCAGAGACAGAGCAGGTAGCAGAACAGACAGAAGGAATGAAATACACTGCTGAGGGGAGCAGTTGGCGAGACAGGAGAGGTCTGTCTCGCCATGTGGGAATCTCCCAGGCCAGGTGGGAATCTCCCGGGCAGGGCAGGAATCTAACCGGTGCTGTGGAGGCTGTGGACAGCTTCACAGCGCTGAGCTCAACCAGCTGTACCACTGGGGAGGCCCTACTCTAGTATTGTTAAGGGCAGATTAGGACAGAACTTCCTGGAGACCTGGAGAGAATGGATGTTAGACATTGGGAAGAGTATGAGAAAAGAAATGTGGAAAGATACTAATGACAGATTTTTGTCTATTTCAAAATCTAGCTGAAAGTATGTCCTTTTTGTCTTCTCTCTCTTTCTCTGAGTAGTTTTTTTCCCCATAAAACCATAAATTTGGACTAGTTATAACTAGGGGCCTGGTTCATTTGTCTTATGAGAAAAAAGCTTTTGCAGGCTAATCTCTAAAGGACTTGACACAAATACTATTGTTTCTAAGGAAAAAATGTGTTCTGCCTTTCAAGGGATTTATAGGTAGGTATTTGAAATATGACTTGTCTTATTTGTCTGTAACTGATAATAGTAGTCAAAAATAATATACCTTCCCTTAGGGCTGGACCTCTTCCAATTGTAGCAATTTGCCATACTGTCAAAAGTCTATTCCTTTGCTACCAAGCTCTACATTGCTGTTTCAATTCCTGGGATCTGATACAGATAATAATTAATGGTTGCGTGTAGAGACACAGTTATAAGTATGGGTAGGATACCATGTGAGATAACTAAGAGTACCACGTTCTGTTTCCATCATCCTCTCCTTTAACCAGAGTGGACTTAAGCAATGAATTTAACCTCTCTGGGATTGAGTTTCCTATTTTTTTCAAAACTGAAACAACTACCTCATTCTTACGGTTTGGCAGTATTAAATAATAGTTATCAAAAAGTTTGAAAAACAGAAAACATGACGTGAATATTTATTTCTAATAGTAATACAATATGGAAAAGTTATTTTTAATCTTCAGTGTTCAAGTTTTTTTTTTAACCTGAGTATTATATTTACTATATACATGAAGGGTTTTGTTATACTTTTCTCTTAATGGAAATTGAGAAATACTTATCTTCTTGAACAATCAAATAAGAATTTATGGTTGAAATTATTTTTCTTTAGATAAATTAACTTTGAAGATTCCTTGGAAGAACCTTTATGGAGAAGCAGTTGTTGCAACCCTGGAGGGATTATATCTGCTTATTGTTCCTGGAGCAAGTATGTTATTTTAGGTTATCACCATTTAGTAACATTATGGTGAAATTAAATTGGGACCTAGGTTAAGTATTTATATGTATTTAGTAAGAGAGAAGTTAATGTAAATATACTAATTATAGACATATGCACATGTACACATACATTTTATATATACACATATATTGCCACAGTATAGATAAAAACTTTTATAAAACTTTTATAAAACATTGTAGATAAAAACTTTTTGAAATGAATAATTTTATTTTTTTTGAAATGAATAAATTTAATCATTTGTTAAATTTATTCTATTCTTTGTGACAAGTTCTTTTGTGACTAAGGCATCCTAATAAGTTGAGATGCATTTGGCAGATTTACTTTTGGGGACTCCGGTGAAGTAAGTTTTGAAATATGTAGTGATGTGTTAATCTAAAGATTTTAAGATTAGAATTTTTTCCCCATTTTGTTGTTTTTGATTGTGAGTGAATATTCTCTCAAACTGTCTAAAATATGTAATTTTTTCCATTAAGGATTATAGTATTTTCAGTTTTTTTAAAAAAGATTTATTTATTTATCCATACAAGAACTGGGGTATAGGCCAGAGGTAGCGGGGTGGTGAGAGGATTCACCAGAGACAGAGCAGGTAGCAGAACAGCAGACTGACTGAAATACACTGCTGAGGGGAGCAGCAGGCAAGACAAGAGAGGTCTGCTGCATCATGTGGGTAGCTCCCTGGCCAGGGATTGAACTCATGGTGCAGTGGCTGCAGATAGCTTCATTGGTTGCGTTTTAACCCCTTGTGCCACCAGGGAGGCCCAGTATTTTGAGTTTTAATGAGTACTTTGAAGTAATGATATTTATTTAATATTTTTCATTATTAATGTTTTTTCAGTTATAAAAACATTAATAAAAGTTTGCATATTTCAGGGAAAAATTGTTATACTATCTCTACCACAATACAAACACAATTTTAATGTTTACATTTTACTTTTCACTCTTTACCATATATATACTTGAGTTGATATAGCTTTTACCACATTAAATATACAATGAGACTACTTTTTCACTTGATTGTATATACTTGTTATGTTTCAATTTTCATGGTGATAGTGACATTTTTGAAAGACTGTATGATATTCTGTTGTGGGCTATTTCACTTTTTTTTCTATTTCACTTTTATAGTGATTATTATAAATATATCCTTCACATAGATATCTTTTGAACATTCTTTTGTATTATTCCTTTGGGATACATTATCAGAAATGAGATTACTGGATAAATAGTATATATATATATTATGATTGTTGATATATATTCTTGAATTACCTTATGAAAATCTTATCAATCTACATTGATACCAACTATTATTGCATATTACATTTTTTTTGTAATTACTCAAAATTTTACCACTCAGATGTAATATTAGAAATATCCTGATGTATTTTCTGTCTTTCCTTTTCCTTTTTATCTTCACCTTTCCCCCTTTGTATCTTTTTCCCTATTCCTTTCTTCCTTTATTATCTTTCCTTTTCTCCTTTCTTTTTGGTGTAAGTTTTATAAATAGAAATCATATATATACAAAATTTTTAAAAAAGATTTATTTATTTATGCATATAAGAACTGGTGTACAGGTCAAAGGTATGGGGGGAGGGGATGTGAGAGGGTTCGCCAGAGACAGAGTGGGGAACAGAATAGGCAGACTGACTGAAATATACTGCTGAGGGGAGCAGCGGGCGAGACAGGAGAGGTCTGCTGTGCCATGTGAATAGCTCCCTGGCCAGCCAGGGATTGAACTTGTGCTGCAGAGGCTACTGATAGCTTCACAGTGCTGTGCTTAACCCCTTGCGCCAGCAGCGAGGCCCTACATACAAATTTTTTTATAAAGCTAATCTAGAAAATACAACTGTTTATTTGACTTACGAAAGAAAATGCCTCACATCACACACACATACACACACACACAATCATGAAGCTGAATTTTTTATAATTGTATTTCTTTTTGTGTGAATTAATTATTTTTAGGTATTAAATATGATGCTGAAAAAGAAGAAAAATCCTTGCAAGATATTAAACGAAGAGAACTATCCCGAATTGAAGAAGCCCTTCAAAAAGCAGCAGAGAAAGGTACAATAAGTTTCTGTTTTAGACAGACTTAGATATAGCTATATTTTATTTTTATTAAACGCACTACAAAGAGGAAGATTTCATAAACCTTCATAGCTGAAGTTCCAAAGAAAGAATCTTATTTTTAAATCTCTAAATTTTTTATTATCATTAGAAAATTTTAGTGACTCATATAAAAGAATTATTGCTCATATCTCCATCAATTTAATTTTTCTACTCTTCTTACCCAGTCATTTTTACCATGCTACTTTTTGGAAACTTTCCAATTCTTTGTTTTTGTAGGCCTGCTGGATTTTGCTATAGGTTAATAGTTTTTTTGCCTGTATTTTTACCTGTGTTCTTCAAAGATAATGAGGTTCAGCATATTAATATGGTGAAGTAATTTTGAGAGGAAAATGTAGTATAATTCTTTCCTAACTATATCTCTTTATATTGTATAGGCTTTTTTTTTTTAAGATTTTATTTATTTATTTATTTATTTATTTATTTATTTATTTATTTATTTATTTATTTATACAAGCACTGGGTACAGTCAGAAGCGCGGGAGGGTGAGAGAATTCACCAGAGCCAGAGCGGGGAGCAGAGCAGGCAAAAGGACTGAAGTATACTGCTGAGGGAGCAGCGGGTGGCAGGAGAGGTCTGAGCACCATGTGGGACCCTCCTCCGGTGGCCGAGGAGCAGCTGGGGATCGAACCGGCGCTGCAGAGGCTGCGGGCAGCTTCGCAACCCAGCACTCAACAGCTGCGCCACCGGGGAGGCCCTAGGCTATTTTTTTTATTCTTTATTCTTTACACTTTATTCTTCAAATTTTAAGCTTCTTAACAGCTTGCCTCAAGTTTTAACTTGTGTGTGTGTGTGTGTGTGTGTGTGTGTAAAAATAAATCTGATGACTGATTTGTTTATGGAGTAAGAATAAACGTAAGGTGAAAAAAAGTAGCCTATCAAGTTATTAATTGAAGGACTTTTCTAAATCCTGAGTTTTCTTTCAAATCAAATCATATCTCAGTTGCTGATTGGATATGAGAATTACTAGTATTTTACATCACTTTTGTGTCATTTGGTGGCTTGTGTAGATATTTCTATGTTGAAAGAAGATACTTCTATTTCTTCAGAAATGTTATGATATTTTTCTTTTAAAAGGTTTTAGTTAAAAGTGATAGAAATTATATTTTAGTTTTAAGAATTCTTTCCTAAACTAAAGCTACTGATATATAATTGCATGAATAAGAAATTTATCTTCAAAATAGCTTGCTTATTAAAGTTCTTAATGATTTTTATACTTTGTCAGCCAAGTATTTTGTCTTATATAGAAATTTTGAGTCTTTGACAATATATACTAAAATGCTTAAAGTACAGATTCTATTTAGATGAAGGAAATTTTAATAAAGCCTAAATGTTTTTCCCTTTCTCTTTTATACTGAAACATGTTTTGTCTTGCTGCTGAATTTAAGAATCTGTATTATGTGAAAATGGTTTTCTTTGTTACTTTAATGTGTGAAATAAAACAAAATGGGAATTTTATTCTTGCTCCATCAACAAGTCAAAAGAGTTGCCAGATTTATTTTCTGAGACTTCATTGTGATTATTTCTTTTTATTCACTTTTGGTTCATTAGTATGTGTAGAAATAACTACAAATGAAGAGAAACCTTAGAAAGCACTGGAATTTCATTACTTTTTGAAACTATTCAGATTTAAAGTATTTTCTTCAATAATTCTATTCATCCATAGGTATATTGACACACTTAGATATGGCAATACAACATGTAATTATATACTTATAATTAATAAATAGTTGTTATATTTTCCCTTTTGAGGAAAAAACCCGAATTCTTCTTTTTGTGCGTTTTGGATGGAATTAACTGGGATTGCTAAAAAAATATTTTGGTCTTTCTTGTGAATTTTTAGGAAAGTCATGATATATTCCTGTTTCAGTAGTTGGTAATTTAATTGGGAAAGTGATAACCTACTATATATTTTGTATTGAGTGCCTGTGGAACTTTGTCCTCTGGATCATCAGAAGGGCTTGGCAGAGATACTATTAAGTATGATTTGATATGTCTATCGGGGATGAACATCTCTAGTATTAGTTTTGTGTAAATAGGACTATTGGGCTTATATAATATATAATAATTATGTTGTAGCATTTTAGATGATAAAATTTAAGTTTTTGGGGTAGAATTGAAATTCAGAAAGTGAAACAGTTCTAACATGTTAGATTTATTAGCAAGATGTTCTGAAAATAAAAGAGATGAATTCAAGGATTGGAAAGTATGTTGATAGAGATTGTTTTTCCCTAAAAGCATACAATATCACTTGATAATATGATTTATATTGCATATAAGTATTTTTTTCTAGTTTCTGTGAATATGGGTCACTTTTTCATGTGATATTATTCCTGTCATAAAAGATAATCTTGGCTTTGAGATGCTTAGCATTTCACTATTATTAATAGCTATTACTTACCATACTTTATTTTTTCAGACTTATTAGTTTTCCACTAATTTCTTGATTTTTAAAGCTCCATTACACATATGTAGGGTCTCAGAGAGCTCAGGAGAGCAAGTGATTCAGCTCTTAATTAGCAGATGATGAGAATGAAAGCAAAGTTTATCTGCTATGTAAATGTATTTTTACTTAAGTTGTTGCATTTGATATATTAGAGTGCTGCATACTACCATGTGGGGAAAAACAAAAACGGAAATATTCAGTTTTCCTTTTTTTGTTGTTGTGTAGAACTGGAGTGTAGGCCAGAGGTCGGGGGTGGGGGGTTGGTGAGAGGATTCACCAGAGATAGAATGGGGAGCAGAGCAGGTGGATCCACTGAAATACACTGCTAGGGGGAGCAGCAGGTGAGACAGGAGGGGTCTGCTGTGCCATATGTGGGTTATCTCCGTGGTTGGGGATCAAGCTCAGGCCAAAGCAGTGATAGCTCTGAGACTTAACCCCTAGCCCAGCAGGGAGGCCCCAGTTTTCCATACTTCTCAAGAGAGTCTGGTTAAGTTTAAAAATAAACTCCTTGATGTTTTTCTCCTTTTACTTTATTGTAGTAAGCTAATTTTTCTGGAAATGCTGTTAGAAAGGAAAGAGAAAGGTTAAATTCCTAATGAGGGCAAAGATTCCCAAATGCTCTAGACTCTGTATTTAAATATTCATTTTATCAAAGTAATAATATACATATACTTTCAATCAGGTAATTTTGCCAAAAAGGCAAGAAAAGTGGCAGTTACCTGTTAACCCTTCTCTACCATTGAGACCCACTCTTTAGAAGGAATGATCATTTTTGAAATATTAAGATTCTTCTGTCATCTAATTTATTAGTGTGAGGCATTATAACAGATTTTTTGTTATGGTATTAAAAGAGTTCACCTCTCTTAACATCTCCTTTTACTCTAAATTCCCCTATCTTCTCATAATATAGTTATATGGAAAATTTTGACCAGTTACTACTCAAAATTTACAAAATGGTATAGGTCAAATGATTATATTTTTTTTCCTTAGGCAGCCTTTTGTTTATCTTGAATTTATAAAGGCTTTATTTGTTTCATCTTCTCTGCAAGTATACCTTCACTGCTTCTCAGATACCACATGAAAGCTATCTGTTATATTACTATCAATGTTATTTTCTAATTGCTGGAACCCATCTATTGGTTCTCTTCTCTATATCTGTTTTCTCTTGGCAGTATCCCTTTAAACTGTTTTTTTTTTTTTTTTTCTCCTTTCTTCCTGTTGTTATTTTTTCAGTCCTGCTATCCGGTTGTCATTCTAGGACTGGTCTTCATTGCTTATCAGTGTTTAGTTCACTGTTTTCTGGGCCCCTTGTCTTTTAAAAACATTTTTATTAGCTTACTTCTTTTGTATATCAAGAACATCTCTAATAGCCTTTTTAGAAAGGATGTGCTGCATATAATTTTAAAAATTTTTTTCAGTCTGAAAGTCCTTATATTTTTTTCCATACCTTTGATGTGACTGGGGATAGAATGCTCGGTTTAAAATTAGAATTTTAAAGGCAGTGTCTTCTAACTTTCATATACTTTTGAGAAATCTGATGCCAGGCTGCTCTGCCCATTGTTGGAAATATAAAAGTTAGAAAATTCCTGGACCCCGTTGTCAAAGCCCTTATATTTTAGTTGGAAAAATAAGATGCAACTAATAATAAATAGGAAAAATTGAGTCATGTGTTAAGGGAATTCAGAATGGGCATGTCATGTTTAGCCTCAGAAATCAAAGCAGACACTGTGAAGGTATACATTTCAGCTGTATCTTTAGAATGCGTGTGCAGAAAGGAGAGAGGACATTCTAGATAGAGGGATGATGAAGGTGGAAAAGTATCGAACATATATGGAAATAGCTAATAATTTTGGGAGCTTGAGAGTAAGTAGTTCTGTGTAAATTGGGAAAAGTTTAAGTCAATTTTAAGAGATTGTATTGCCATAACAATGGTGGTGATGATGATGATAGTAGCTAATATTTATTGAGCATTTGCTACTTGTCAGTTGTTCTTCAAAATGCTTATGTGAATCAACTCATTTAATAGTCATTACTCTTTGCTGTATTTAGGAAAGCTGAAGTGTAGTTATCCTAGGTAACATAGCTAGGAAATGATAAGAGTTTCAACCTATTCTGACTCTAGGTACGATACTCATAACCCTGTGTAATTGTGAACTTTAATCTGTAGTCAGTGGAGGAGTCATTAAGTTTTCCTTTTTCAAAAATGCAGGAAATGACACAATCAGAATTGTGATTTAGAGAGGTTAAATTTGCACTGGTGCTAGGCTGGTTTTGGGGAGAGGAATGGAAGTTTGTGCTATTATTAGTGTATAGAATGCGTTCAGACAGTATATCTGAAAGGAATAAATCAAATTAAAGTGAGATCAGTTCACTTCAACTAATTCTTAAATTAGTGAAAATATATCAGTAAAATGACTAATATGGCAAGATGGTAGGCAAAAAAGAGAACCCAATGCCAGACTTTTGCTGTTTGAAAATTTGTTAAGTAATC